TCTGTTTATAAGGCGAAGGCTGGGGCACGGTGGACGGAGGACAGCCGTGTGTTGGGCCCTAAATGCTTTTTATCTAATGGAGGCTTTCATCCAGCGTGACTGGCAGCAGAAGACAGATGTTCTGTATAAACTCGTGTATCGGTGAGGCCCTGGACTCAGCACTGAAGGGCTGTGAGGGGAGTGGTTCTGGCTGCTCTGGCTGTTTACCTGCAACCTTCAGAAGCTTTTTGTCCAAACGTTTTTCCGGATAATAAACTTGAATGTTGCGAGTTCTCTGAAGAGAAGTTTAATAGACATCAGCAGCGGAGCAGTCAGAGGAGCCAGGGTATCTGTCTGAAGCAGTGAAGTCTCGTCTGACTGCCAGGTGTAGGAACGTTTCTGTTTGTTAGATCTGTGTCAGGCCTGGTTCTGGTTTGGACGCCAGCCTCGGCAGCTGGCCTGGAATGTCACGGCGTCTCAGAGGAAATCCAGACAGACGGAGAGGCACGCCGAGGAGAAAACAGCCTGCTGGAGCAGCTCCACGGCGGCTGGCTGGGCGCTGAGGGCAGGCCAGGGCGGTCGTCCACACCCAGGCAACACTTAAGGAGCACATATCAAGCTTTTGGGGTTTTCTCACCACTTTCCTTTTCTCCCCCATCAAACACTGCTCCTTCCACCTCTGAATGCCACGTCTACGGTCCCATTCCTCGACACCACCTGTCTGGCTGCTGGTTCCACCCTCAAACAAAGGCTGAGCTTTATTTCCACTCCAGAGTCACTTCTGCAGGAGCTACGTCCTCAGACGCCTGCAGCTCGCGTAGGTAGCCAGAGTTTTACACAACGAGACGCTCACACTGTCGCCTCCATCGTTTGGTCGCTTTGCTCCCATCGTGTTCCAGTTCATCATGAAGGGAATCAGTTGTCTCCTGCTCAATGATGCACTCACATCCTGTTGTGTATAGACCCTTTCCAAAAAATTAGAATATCATGGAAAAATTGTTTAATTTCCATAATTCCATTAAAAAAGTTAAACTTTCATAGATTATAGATTCAGGGCCCACAATTTAAATGATTTCAAGTATTTATTTGTTTATTTTTACGTGAATTGGGCCTCCAGCTCATAAAACCCACGAAAACAAGAATTCAAAAAATTAGAATACTGTGAAGAAATCAGCCCAAATTTTGGAGGCCATGAATGTTTTAAACTGAATGTCACACACTAGTCATCTTCTAAACTCAAAGCACCTGCACAGGTTTCCCCAGGTGTCATTAAAGTACTTACAGCAGCAAATAGATCATTCACATTATTATCTCAAGTTCTTTATTCTGTAAGTTTGCACGTTCTTGTGCACGTTCTTGTGCACACCTTTGCACTTTAAACATTCCCATTAGTTTTTATTACTGGAAGTTCCTTGGATTTACACTTACTGTTTAGGGTTAGGGCAACCCTAACTTGCTTTAAATTCTCTGTCAGCGTCTCGCGTAACGCAGCAGATCATCAGCTCAGACTGCTGCTATGTGAAGTCCATGAGAAGACTAACAGCTTCTGTGTTAGAATAGAATAGAATAGAAAAATACTTTACTTATCCCAGTCTGGGAAATTACTGTGGTCCAGCAGCAAGAGAAAAACACCAGTCACAACAGAAAAAGAGCCAAAGTTAAATACTATTTAAAAAATGAAAATTAAAAATGAGTGAATAAAATAAAATAAATAAAACGACTGTACAAAATGTGCAAATTGAAAAAACAGTGCAAAGACAGAGGGTTTTACAGAGCAGAGAGCTGAGAACGCTCTGTGTTGTTCAGGGTTACTGCTCTGGGTTCCGGTACCGGTCCTTGTGACAGCGGAGCTGAATCAGTCTGTTTGAGAAGGAGCTCCGCTGCCTGTCCAGAAGGGGGTGGAGAGGGTGGTCGGGCTGATCCAGAATAGATACCAGCTTGTTCAGAGTCCTCCTCTCCATCACCGCCTCCATGGTGTCCAGTTTGCAGCCGGTACCGGAGCCAGCCTTCTTGATCAGTCTGTTCAGTCTGTTGGTGTCGTCGGCTCTGATGCTGCCTCCCCAGCAGACTACAGCAGAGAACACTGGCAACAACAGACTGATAGAAAATGTTCAACATCTTGCTGCACACGCTGAAGGATCTCAGCTTCCTCAGGAAGTAGAGTCTGCTCATCCCCTTCTTGTATTCAGCCTCGGTGTTGATCCTCCAGTTCAGTCTGCTGTCAGTGTGGACGTCCAGGTACCTGTAGTCCTCCACCGCTTTAATGTCCTCTCCCAGGATGTTCAGGGGCTGTGTGGTCGTCCTCTTCTTCCTGAAGTCCATCACCATCTCCCTGGTCTTGGCCACATTCAGGAGCAGATGGTTCCTCCCAGACCACTCCACAAAGTCACTCAGCAGCGCTCTGTGCTCCTCATCCCGTCCACCACGTATACACCCAACCACTGCAGAGTCGTCAGAGAACTTCTGCAAGTGGACCAGCTCAGAGTTGTACTGAAAGTCTGAGGTGTGCAGGGTGAACAGGAATGGAGAGAGCACAGTGCCCTGTGGGGCTCTGGTTGTTGTAGTTTTCAGTGCAGGCTGGAGTCACATCTTATTTGTGTTTCGACTGTCGGCCAGGTCAAAACGGGCTCTCTGAATCCTCCATCTGTGGCTTTTGGGAACTGAGGTTTTCCATAGTGTGCAGATGTTTCATAGCTGAAACAGAAAGAAAGAGAATACTTTCACTTGTTGGCTGTCTAAGCCAGTGTGTTGAAGGAGCCACAGGCAGCAAAACTCATTGAGCAGAAACGGTGAGATGAGGAGGAGGGACGTCTGGGACACTAATGCATGGAGATGGCAGGTTTACTGTTGGACAATACTGAGAAGGAGACGACGGCAGAACCACAACATTCTGCATCATGGTGGCTGAAGCTGGATTACCAGCTGCCAGGACAATGAGAAGTCTCGTCCGAGACAGTTCCAGTGTGGACACGGTGCTGTTTCCTGATCTCTGGAAAGAAACAAAACGTGTCCGTCTTTGAAGGGTTGGAGTCTTAGAGGGAAGGAAGGAGGAATCAAATCTGCAGCGCTGTGTTTGTACGTCTTTCTCTTCTCTTTGGCATCTCCACTTCCTGTTTGTGACTCCTTCGCTTCCTCTCCGTCCTTCCCTGTTTCTGCGACCCGCCGACTCTTCCACTGAAACGAATGTAAAACTGCTGATCTGGCAGCTTTTTTTTGTTTTTCCACTTTAAAAACTGCACCATCAGGATGAAATTGACCGCATTACGTCTTCACTGTTTGTAACTGCGTGTCTTCCTTCATCTGTTTGAGGAACTGAAATTGTTTTCTGGGGTTTCTGAGTCCGATGTGAACAGCTTCACTGGAACGGTGACAGGATTCCTGTTTCTGACGGCGATGTGCAGATGAGGGCGCTTTCAGGGTGTTCACATGACTGAGCGATGAGGAAAATTTGCAGGAATTTCTTACAAGAGAGGAAATATTTTCAGTTTCTGTGATTTCCTCATAATTGCTTCAGAATTTTCCTGGAAACAGGAATTAGTGACAGTGAAGTCTGAGCTCATACACACTGTGCTGGTTTGCTGAGGTGGTACAGCAGGAGCGTAGTGGGGAGATGGTATGGGCTGTAGAAGGAGGTTCTTCTTATCCATTGAACAGCTGACTGTGTGTTACCCGCATATGACAAACTAATGTGGACCTGAAGTCATCTAGAAACCAGCACTGACAGAATCTCACACCAGCTTCCACTTGCTAACCTTCTAAAGGCTTTTAGCTGTTTGTCAAAGCTTCCTCTGCAGCCAAAGTTGGCTCAGTTGTCTAAAGCTGACCTGAACTTTGACTCTGTTACAGAGTGCTGCTATCCAGAAACCTTTGTCAGCGATTCCAGTTGAATAAAGACCTCCAGCAGTGAGTCCATACATTTAAGTCTGTCAGCTCTCTGCAACCAAATAAAGCCACCAAAGAAATCCCAGTCACAGCATGTCAGGAGTTGCTGCTCCTCAGCTTGCAGGGCTTTTGTTCCTGTCACACTGTCCTCGCTGCAATATTAAATCCTGCACTTGGTTGAAACAGCGCGACACGACTGGAAAGAGAAACTCAGGAACGTCTACGACGACACGGTTAGAACGTCATAAACACAACTTCTGTCATCTATCTGACCAAAACGGGAAAAAGCCTGAAATCAGCGTGTGCAGCCTGTTCCCACACTGTTCTCTAGTCGAGCAGATATTTACATGTTTTATCTGTTTCATGCTCGTCTGCAGTTCAGCTGAAGTTCCTGAGTTTTTGTCATGTTTCTGTTGGTTGCTGCTGAGTCACTCTTTGCTTCCCTTTGTGCTGAGTCATGAAGTACTTTTGATTTAATGTTTTTTACTGTTTTCTACAGTCAGTCTATTTTTTGTGACTTTTAAAGTTAGATATGTAGAATAAATTGGTTTGATGAAACATCCCACTTTTGACATGAGATTTGGGTGATGTTCTGACGGAGCGCCTCCAGGAGTTCAGGGATGGCCTCAGCCGCTGATAAATAGGTCATTTTGGCACAAATGGTGAACTCCACAGCCACAGAATACAGCAGCATAAACACTCAGTCCGTTTCTTTAAATAAAAGATGTTGGTGAAGCCTGAAACACGGTTTTATTCCGGGCTGTGTTCACACATTGTCTGATTCCTGCTGCTGCGATCAGTTGAACAGGTGAGGCTGCAGACAGACTTTAAGGTTTGTTTTTCACTTCAGCTTGTTTTAACCTCTTTGCTGTTAAAGAGACACGTTTGGATCTTGTTTCTTCCTGTGTGGAGATGCTTTCCTGCAGCGATGGCATCACTTGGACAGGAACTGTGGACAAACAGGAGGATGTGCAGAACCGCAGTTTGGACACAACAACATGTGGCTTTATATTCCAAACACAAATCAGACGAAGCGTGTTCTCTCTCTCTCGACCCCAGATGGACCGGCACACCCTCAGCACTGCATTAAAATCAGTTTGGGCGCTAATAACGCGTACGTTTCTGTCCGTCTGTTTCAGGAGCCTGTTTTCTAGGAAATCCAAAGAGCCCAAGGCAACATCCCACAATGCACCAGGGTGGCGACTGTTCAGCAAGACAGCAGCCAGAGAGGGCGATCCGAGTAAAGACCTGGCCTCCACGATGACCGCACAGGAGGTTGGTTCTTTAACTCGTGTCATGATATGAGTCATCACATAGACAGACGCAGCCTTTTAGCTGCAGTTTGTCAAAGAGCAGCAAAGTTCTGCTTCGACTATCAGAGTGTTTTAATCTTTAAATGGATGCAGAACAGGAACAGACAAGACAAAAGGTGAAAGTCTGAGTGACTGAAACACATTCAGCCGCTGTAGCAGAATGCCAGTGAGGTGCAGGCCGGCTAGCAGGACTCCCAGTGTGGTGGTCTGGCTTGTTCCTGTGCTGTATGTAAACGGATGGAACTGTTTTCTGACATTTGGTTGACATTGAAGAGGTCCAACAATAATGAAACGGAGAGTTTCTTGCAGGTCAAGGCTATTTAATATCAAAGAAAGTGTGCGGGACGTTTATGTTTGCGTCGGGAAGTCCAGATGCTGCAGTGGAGTGCTGCATCTGGACTCAATATTCGGCCTGCGAGACGTCTGATTGGCTGTTCTGATGGTCTGTGTGTGTGTGTTGTAGATGCTCCAGAGGCTAATGCTGTTAGCCTGTTTACGTACAACACGGAGGCTGTAAAGTGTGTATATGTGAGTTTATACGGTCGCCGAGCAACTTCAGCACAGCGCCTGCAGCTGAGGAGGCAGATGATCAGCCCCCCACCCGCCAACGCACACACTCACACACACACACACACACACTCTCACACACACACACACACACACTGTAAGCCAGCAGATATGTAATTTTCCCATCAATCAACCAGCAAGAACTTCCAGGCAGTCGCTGTGTTAAACCCTCCAGAGGCTAATGTAGCGTAGTCCCGTCCTGCTGAAGTACCCTTGAGCAAGATGCCTGACCTCTCCGGCTCCAGGTTGCTGCCGGTGTGATCCCTGACCGTCCAGTGCAGTCTGAAGGCAGCAGAGGCAGTCTGAGAGCCCGCTTTGCTCAAACCGTCTGATGCTTGCTGGCCTTTCTCTCCTCACATGACGGCCGCCAGAGTCAGATGATTCATCAGGGAAGAAGCCGACCAGATGTGGCTTCAAGGCGGTTGACACGTCAGACACAAAAGTGTGGAGGAGGAAGACGAGAGGAGGAGGGGTGGCTTCACTTACTCTGTTCCCTTTGAATACAGTTTGTGCAGGATCTGCTGCCGAAGAGATGTCCTAGCTCTCGTCTTTAGTGAAGGAGAGGAATCCTGAGAGATTCAGGAAGCTGGGCAGAAGTTAAAACCAGCCTCAGGTCTGGCCAACATCTGCACCACCCAGATGGCCTTGTATTGGTTTTTTATGAAACGTTCTTCTTGCTCTTGGACAACACATGCTAATTAGCTGCTAGCTAACTTTGGTGCAGTTACCTTTCATTGCCACTCGAAGCTGTTCTCATTGACACATTTTTGTGTTTCTGTTGTCAGCGAAGCAGCTCATTTAGACTGATTCTACACCTGCAACGCCCAAACGCAAGTTCAAACCGTGTCTGCTGTAGATTCAGTGACTTCTCCATGTAAAGCGATCGCGCAAAAACAAACTCAGAAGTCCTGGTGTCACACTTACTGGAATCTGTGGCTCACAGAGTCTTCTTCCTGAGTTAAGAAGTTCAGAGCAGGACATGGTACAGTCATGGTAAATAACTGACCCCTTGTCTGCAGTAATAAAGGCTGATCTAATCCACGCGACTTCATGGAACCTTCTCAGTCAGCTCTGTACTGACCTGTCTGCCAGTGTGAACACATTTAGAGGAGTCATGGTTTCTTTCTTGGCTTTCCTAAAGTGACGACAGAAGTTTTATTTAGCTTTTAGTTTCACAGCAAGAAACCGCTGAATCAGGGTGCACAGTTTATAGAAACCCTGAAGCTGCAGCACGCTCTGACCAAACGCTGTGGCCTGGTTCGGCCAGTGGGATGTGGACACCCCTCCCTGGAAACATGTTTGTTTTGATGCACTTTGTGTATTTTTTTGTAAGGCTGCTTAGGTCAGACGCATTCAGAGACCCGTGACAATCCCTGGAACGCTACATGACTGGCTTCTTACTGGAGGACCATGAAGATCTTTAGACGGCGACTGGTGATCATCCTTTGTCTTAGTTCCCACACTGGGACATCTGATCATGATATTCGAGACTATCATGAGCTTCCAGCTTAGTGGCAACAGGTTTAGGTTTGGCCATTTCCTGCTGCAGCATCACAGTGGCCTCATGCACTAAGCCAGGTCTGCTAAGACGTGGTTTGGAACAACGTGCACTAAAGAAGCCTTCGCTCTGACCTCCAATCCTTCTGGCATCTTTTGGGTCAACTGGAACGCCAACTGCAGCTGCAGCTGCGTTCCAGCATGAGGTGGAAAGAGTTATTGCAGCACATGAATGGTTCTGGTTCTGTAAACGCATCAGATCTGTTTTTAGTCAGGCCTGTTCCAGAAACCTCCGCGTACCTGTCAGGTGTGGCTCATTGGTCTTGTGCAGACAGCTGTGACGATGGCAGAGACTTTTCTCCTGTTTATAGGAGAAGTGTTCTGTGCTTAGAGAAAACAGCGAGTGGTCCAGCTCACATCCTCCGCTGTGAAGAGGACTGTTCACCTTCTGGCTGGGGCTAAACAAAAGGCAGAGATCACCTGCTGCACCGTCTCTTATAAACATGGCCAGAGGTTCTCACTTGTCTGTAGCGTAGACGAGGACAAGCAGCAGCTATTCACCTACAAGAAGGTGAAGGTGTCGCATCCTCTGCATTTGTCCTTGACAATGAATTAAATGATGATTCACCTACGGACATAGCAGCTTGGTGACTCCAACCTCGATCAGGTCCGCTCTGGTTTCTCCTGGCGTTCAAACATGCTAAGCTAGTTGTACAGAGTGGCTGAGACCCAGGCGTAGAGCTGACCTACTGGTGGCAGCCCACTGCTCCTGGAAGGGTTCGATGCACAGAACCCATCTCCATGTGGGAATTAATTCAAGGGAACAGGCCGTGTGCTGCTTCTGATCGACGGGTTAGTGCAGCTGCATGTTGCAGCACTCATCTGGCTGGTTTTACTCGTTGCATTTGCAGTGTTGCTGCTGCAATTAGTGACGCTTACAGGCTGGTTCTGTCGGTTCTGTCACTGATTGAAATGAGCCTTTCTTGATTTACATTCATGTCATCTGTGTACATTCTGGTTTGTACGGTTCAGATGTTGCAGCTTTGATTGTAAAAGGCACAGTGGCATTTACAGCAGTTCACCAGGACATCACTTGACCAGTCACATGGTTTCTACACCAGAACCTGTGTCTCCCTCTGCTGGTGATGCTCAGAAATCACTCATAAAGACGCCTTGTCTTGTTGCCCCACAGCTGTCCTGCTCCTGTCAATGAGCTGTTTATTGTGCAGGCTCAACACACACACACACACACACACACACACACATTGACACACACACAGAAAACACACACACACACACACACACACACACACACAGTCAGCCACACATGCAGATTGATCCAGACTCGACAGCGTCTTCCTGTTGTTCTGGCCCGTGAGAGGCTGGTTGTGTCGCTGTAGACATTTAGCAAAGAGGCAGAACTTTACCCACAAACATGGCGTCTGTAAATGTAAATGTAGGAGAATTAAAGGCATTTAAATCACTATAAAGCACTCGACACGTTGCTAGTCCCACACGACCTCCTGGGGCTGATGAGGACTCTTGGTGCTCGTCACCGATCCAGCGGCTGTTTGAAACCTGGTTATGTTATTTATGTCTTTAAGTGTGTGTGTGAAGTAATAAGATGAAGATCTGAGGAAATGTGATGAATGGGCGACCACGCTCTTCTCTGGGACGTGACATAAACACAGCGGATAACACCTGGTAATCGAGGCGTTTATGTGGAATAGAATAAATAGAATTGTACGATGTGAAAACTGCAGTATGGAGGACACAATATAAACCACTGGGCCTTCATCAGTGTAGCTTCTGACTGTCAAAACTGCAATGAAGAGATGATGTGGTTTGAACAGCAGATGGCCAGGTGCACACAGCTATGAAGTACAACTAGAAATACTTCTGCAGCTTCTCACTTACTTTCTGCACATCGTCTATGTATGATTCTCCTCTGGGATTGTCGTTCTTGTGTCACCTGACCTGCTATTATAAGGCCTTGGACATGCTGCCAGTGGCTAAGGAGGCCAGCAAAGATCATGTTTAAGCTTCTCAGACAAACTATTAAACAAATCCGTCCTAACAAAGCTGCAGAAGCTTGTGGAACCAAGCTGAGCTACGACTGTTGGATCTCTACTCTGTGTGACGTTTCCATTTTTTTTCTTGTTCTGTGTCCTCAGCAGGAGCAGGAGCAGGAGCAGGACTCGGGCGTGTCCCCGTGTCCTCAGCGCCCCCTGGCTGCAGGGAGGAGGAAGAATCTGGAGTTTGAGCCTCTTTCCACCACAGCTCTCATCCTGGAGGACCGGCCAGCGTAAGTAGAGCCAGTCTACATCACACAGCTGGAGCTACACTATCCATTGTCACTGGTCCAGTCTGAGAAAATTGAGAAAAACGTTTTCCAGTTCACAGCAGATCTTCTGGTGTAGGAGGGAACTCTGCGTCTCTGCGTGTTGGACTGTTGGTCGGCATTTTGAAGCGAGGATTTGAAGATTAGAACTGGACATTATCAGAAAGGATTGAGACCAGACAAATCGTGTAAATATAAAACAGCTGATCAGGTTTTTCAGGCTCAGAATGGATCTGGAGGGAGACTGTTGATACTGAGACCAGTCCATCAGGGAGCATGTGTCCCCTTATTTGACAGAAATCTGAGTCTTTTCCTGTCATTTCTGAACATTTGATAAACAAAAATGTCTCTGTGCAGGATGACACCCTGCTCATAGTTGTTAGCTGCAGCTCTAGAGCGCTGAGATATCGCTAAGCGTTGCTAACAAGCGTTAGCATTTAATACAGAGCAAGTTCAGCCCGTTTCCTCCCAGCATGCTAAATATCCTGCAGCCCAAAGGTCTCAGGTGTAAATCTCGATGTGCTGCAAATTCTAAATATACCACAGTTTAGTTAAGAGCCGTGATGTGCCAGGCGTCTCCTGGCAACAGGGAGCATCTGGTGGGAGCCACAGGATGAAGCAGATCAGTGTCACTGAGAGACAGAGTGGCTGTGTTTGGCTGAACACCTGACAGGAAGAGAAACCGTCCAACTGGCTCGCTGCCCGTGTGCCCGTCTGTCTGACTGACTCTCTGTCCTTCAGGAATCTGCCTGCCAAGTCCATGGAGGAAACTCAGAGACACAAGCTGGAGTACGAGGAAATGGTGGCAGGAGCCAAGAGGAGAGGTACTTTCACTCACTGTATGTACACGTCTGGGATTCGAACTGAAGCCTGAGGGCCAGTTCAGCCGTTCCACATCGGTTCTGTTCATGATGCAACAGGTGCACGTCGGACGGCTGCATTTCCCCTCGTGTCAAACAAAGGAAACACACAAGGATATGGCAGGTGTTTGCAGATTAGGTGTTCATGTGCCAGACACAGTGAGCAAACAGCAGCGCCTCCTCCTGGATACAGAGAAGCATTCATGAGGAATATTATTGATGAGTCTCTCCACACACCCAACATCTGTTTTAATTACTTCTACTTGTTTTCCTGGCCGTTGCCACACAGACACAGATGTCCCCAGATTTGATTGGATGATAAACTTTTACATCACGTGTGATCTTGGAGATGTCGAAAGCATGAATTGGCCTTGGCCTTAACAAATCTGCTTTGATTTGATTGGTTCAGACACGTACACGGTGGCCTGCAGGGACAAAGTTAAGGCAAAGTCATGCTCCGTGCACCCATGTAGACGTCATCACCTCGGGGGAAGTCTGACAAATCTGTGGATATGAGAGTCTCGCACAATTTAAACAACGACATAAGCACAATGACCAAAAAGACAAATATGAATGAAAAAACACAATAAAAGTAAAGACAATTAGAAGATACAGCACATAAAATGATGCAGTGGTAGGTAGAAAAATGTTCGGCCACAGCTTCAGGCCTGACTGCACATGCGCTGGGAAAACCGATGGTGCTTAAAACTTGTTATGAGGAGAGACTGTTCATCTTTTTATGTTTTACCTTTATCTTGTGAAGCTCCTTGTAGCTCCAGTTTGAAATGAAGTTTATTATTGCCATTTGAAGGAACTGTAATGAAAGTAGTTGCACCATAAAACATTTCAGCTTGAGTATCACGACGTCCACACGCACAGGAGTCACACCATGAATTTACCTGTAGGCAAAACAAAGATCTGATTAAATGTGAGCAAACCTGGTGCCATGCTTCCCTCTTAGAACTGAAGGAAGCCCAGAAGAAGAAACGTCAGATGAAGGAGCGCCACAGACAGGAGGACAGCATCTCCAACGCCATGGTCATCTGGAACAACGAGATCCTGCCACACTGGGACACCATGTACGTCTCCACGGCTTTGGGATGCCACGTGTGCAGCGCGTTTGAGTTGCTTATGGCTGTTTGTTTGTGCAGGAAGGGCACGAGGCGGGTCAGGGAGCTCTGGTGGCAAGGGCTGCCCCCCAGCGTCAGAGGGCGAGTGTGGAGCCTCGCCATCGGCAACGAGCTGAACATCACACCAGGTACCAACACTTGTTCCTTCATGCTCTGTGAAATGTCGTCAGATGAAATACAGGTGGGCTGGCTCTGCATTTTAATGAATGTCAGCAAATCCCATGTGTAATAGTTTGTGTTCCAAAGCTCATCTGGGTATTTGGGGGAAAACAAATCGAAGCAGAGGGATCTGTTATAATAAGAGATTTAGACCTGACTGTAAAACCGGAGCTGAGCGATTCTGATGTTTTTGGTGTGAAAGTTAAACCCTGATTTCTGTCACAGACCATAGGTAACCCTCCAACCTTGTCTGTGTTTTGTGTTGGTGCAGAGCTCTATGAGATCTTCCTGTCCAGAGCCAAAGAGAAGTGGAGGAGCTACAGTGAGACCAGTTCAGTCAACGACAGCGAGAGCGGTACAGCACATCTCCCATCTCACACTGAAGTCTCACTGATAATGTTTACAGCCCATATTCTGCTTTGTAGCTTCCTCTTTTTTTAATGCATGTTCTGCAAACTTACTCAGCCCAAAGAAACCTGCATAAGGTCTTGGTTTTTCTGCTGTCACGCATCACCATGTAGCATGTCTGCATCACGGCCACCCAGCAGCTAGTTTGGCCCTAAAACAAAGCATCTGTC